AGAGAAGCATATTTCCTCACAATAATCTTAATTCAGCGTAGGCTCCACACGGCTGTGAAGTGAATCTTATCCGTACGTGATTAATAAATCCTACTTTAAGGTCATTTAGGCTGAGTTCACCCAGCCGCAGCCATGCATCGTAAGTGACACTGTTGCGTGGGTTACTACGTGCAGTGGGTAACTGAGACGAATGTTGAGCAGCCATCAAACTGCGACAAAGTGGTCATCAGCCGTGATGTTTGAAAAGCTCCTCCCCTAGTGAAGCCCCTGCTGAAGCATGCAACTTGAAACGTTCCGTCCAACGCGTCGCCGCGTGAGCTATGCGTTTAGACTGGCCAACTGACCGCCATGAATAGCCAACGCTTCGCGACGAGCCGGGCCGATGAGCAGCATCTTCCAACACATACCGCATTCGTCAACAGTTCACGTTCGCGTTTGGTTCGGCGTCCGGTTCGCAGCGCGGGCAGACACCCACCTCGATGGTGACCTTCTTGGGGTAGCCGAGGAACTCGGTGAGGGTGCCGTGCACCTGGTAGCCGAGCCCGCCAAGAGCGAGCAGCACCATCAGCATCCAGCCCAGCTTGCGACAGAGGCCGTCGTGGCGCACAATGTGCGGCACGCCGTGCGCGGAGCACCGGTCCAGGAAGAAGCGTCGCGTCAGCCAGTAGGACGTGGCGTGCCGCTGCTCTGGCGTCGGGTCATTGACGGGGCCCTCGCCCAGGTCCTGCACGCGCCTGCCGACACCGGCCGCGAGTGAGGCCAGGTCGGCGCTGGCGCACAATCGCGGGATGCGCTGTTGTTGCGTAGTCGTGCATGGATCCAACTAGCTTAGGTGCCAACCAGCTTACCCTCGGTGAAACCCGGTGAAATCCCTTGCAAGCATGCAAACCATTTGGACTGCATTTATAAAGGGATAACAAGCATCGTCATGAATGGAGGCAAATAAACCCGGTATTTCAATCTGTATCGTCACCTTGTCTTTCCGCGGGGCCTCTCAGCCAAGCTGCCTTAGTTTCTCAGTAGTTTCGACTGTCCCGCTACCTGTTTAACCGACGTGTGCGCTTTATGATCTTGTTAGAGGTCTAAAGGCAACCTTTCCCGCACGCGCCACGCGCACACCCTGTACCGCAACCGCCCGCAGATTGATTCTGGAAAGCCGGCTCGTCCGCCTATGCCTGCGCAAAACTACGCCCCGTGTCGCCGATCGCTTAACCTGCCGACGTATCAAAAGAAGGAGACGACAGGCAAGTACCTAGCGCAAATGATAAATGGAAAAGGGTGACACATTGGCCTTTGGCTGACGACCGGCCTAAAGAGAGAAGTGAATAAGTGACGCGGGAGGCAAAAAGACTAACAAATAGAACAGCGGGAAGTAAATAGAATAGGAAATATAGTATCCATCATTGCTAGACGGATAGATATAAAAATTTCATCGATGCACTGGGGTGTCTCTACTCTTGAAAACAAAGCAAATGTTTAGCGCAGAATTAAGGTATCTGAAGCCCCTCGAGAGTAGCTGCACAGATGGCACACCATTTCCTGCAAAAACAGCTGTTGGGCTCCCTTTGCGTATATATATATATATATATATATGCATATGGCCAACAGATTATACTATCGGACGCGCAAGAAGTTGGAAGGGGTCACTAAGTCTCAACAACCTAGCTATGTTGGCACATGGAAACTGTAGCTGTCCTTGATCGGGCCTGTAACTAAACTCAACCATTACAAGCTCAGCAGGAGGCGAACCGGCAGATAACTCACTGGATGTACTGCGCGAAGGCGTGAAGCTTCTCCCTCTTGTTGTGGGTGGAGAGCCACTTCTGCGCCCATTCGGGCTCCTCCTGCTCCTCTCCTTGGTCCTCGATGTTTCCCATTTCGGGGTCGTTCTTGGCCGTCGGCTGGGCGGGCTGAGCGGCCGGCGGCGACCCTTCAGCCGGCGTCGGCGCCGGGTGGACCTTCGCCGAGCTGCGCCCAGTCATGGTGCCGGGCCGCGACGTCAGCCGCGGCGCTCCCACCGCCGCCGACGGCGCCCGCGGCCCGGCCGGCTGCGTCCTCTCGCCGGCCGGTGGCGGGTCGGCGGGCTCCGTCCCTTCGCCGGGCGGTGGCGGATCGGCCGGGTCCGAAGCCGCCTCCTCCGGCTCCGCGGCCGCCTCGTCCGCCGCCTGCTCCTGATCCTGCGCCGCCTGGCGCTCCTGCTCGCGCTTCCGCTTCTCCTCCTCGAACGACTCCTGCTGCATGGCGGCCAGCTCGGCGTCGAAGTCGAACTCGTCGTCCGACATGGTGGCGGCGCTCTGCCCAAGGGTCGGCCCGGTCAGGCGCGACGCGGCGCGTCACACGCAGAAGGCCGCTCTCACAGAGATCGGACAGGCCAGGGATCAGACTACCGCAGGGCGTTGGGCCGTCGGTACCGCGAGCAGGAGACAGAGCAGAAACGGGCCGAACACGATCCACCGTGACATGGTAACGTCAACATGGTCACACGCGTCAAACATAACATGTTGCGTCCAGTTCGGTCTCCTGCCGCGCAGCGACGAACCATCCACTGCGTATTACCTGGGGAGAGGGGGGGGGGGGGCGAACGGCGAGCGCGGCGCCTCTCCCGGGAGCGCGAGCTGGCGGGCGCGGGAGCCGGCGCGGAGGTGTTGTCGCCGGCAGCAGGCCACAGGCACTCCGGCCCCCCGCACACATCACCGACGCCTCCGGTTGTCGTGACGACCATTAAACATGGCTGGGAAGCCTGCGCCTGCTCAATCGCTGCCTGCTGGATTCTCATCGCAGTTATACGCCAATTATTAATGGGGACGCACGTCAGTAGCTGACCCTGGCTCGTATATGTTGCCCGGGGAGGCTAGCCATGGCGCTCGCCTCAGTGGCCCTTTATTGTGTGTCGTGGTAGGTAAAGATCGTACATGGTCTCTGCTAGGGTGCATTGGTCCTGGATCCTTTAGAGGTGCCAAGGAATCGCCATATTTCCACTTGCATAATTTTATTTTACACTCACCCCTATGACGTTCAGTCATTTATCGTCTGAGCCTGTTACTGACTCTAAAAATCCCTGGAGGGGAAAACCGACATGTCCACTTTTCTAGTTCAGGCTCTGTACTATGTACTAACTATTATCCATGGGAGACAGGATTTACACATAGTAGTTCAAAATATTCGGGAACGTTGGGTGTTTGGTGGTAAACAAGTGTGGCTAAATGCAATTTTGATGGTGCATAACATTTTGACGGTGCATAACATATCATTGTAGGTGTGTCCACTGCCCATACAATTTAAAAGTCCTCAATTTACAACAGCTCCGATGATTTGCTGGTGTTGTTAAACCGCCTGCTTTCTGTATGCGTCATTGATTTTGTCCACCACATGTGTAAATACAACCTGCCATAACTCCCATGACTCTGTGTTAGTTAGGTACGTGAATGCATGTAAACAGATACATGGACGGCTTATTCGCATGTGTTCCGGTTGACTGATTCATTATAGCGCTCATCTATATTATGAATGGAAATTACTCGTGAGATTGAGCACATAAGTTACAGCATATTGAGCATGGGAGTGGATCCTGAGTGAATTCTTGCCACGCATTTCCAAATTCATGACGTTATTCTTCCCAGCAATCATGGGATTGCAGGTGTGTCCCACCGACACAAAACCACGATTAATGCTAGAATGTTGATCATAGTTTTATGGTAGCATTTCATGCTGACGTTAGACAAACTAAAAAAAAACAATAACAAAAGCTTTTCCGTCATACGTTTCTTTCAGCGCATTTTCTGTTTGTTTTGCCACTTTGGTCCGACCATCTCTGTCGGAGACAAGACGGCCGTGAGAGCAAACAGTTGGTATAGTGTGCCAGTAGGGTTAATTAATTACCCTTTTTGGCCATGGTGCATAGAAACTTTACGAGGAAAAGCTTAGCATTACCAACATAAGGCTATGCAGTTGTTTCATTTTCAAGCAAGCCGCGCTGAGGTCACCTTGATTAATGACAGAAAGCCAATTCTGAGGGCCTTTTTTATTCACCGCTCATCTCATGCAGAGGTGAGTTTCTCGACACACAGAACTGTCGAAATTTGCATTAAACGCCATAAAGTCATCGTACTGAAAGGGAATGTTCCACATTTGAACATGTTAAAGCCAGCGTCAGGTATGATGCAATAAACTCACATTGGTATACTCTTAAGTAGGACGGACTGGTCTAGACACCAAAATTTCGCTATTGAGCAAAAATGTTCCTCAATGTGCCATCGCTTGATTGCATCATGGAACGCTTGCATGATGTTGAGACACTGCCAAAGTAGCCGTACAAAATTGTCATTTACCTGTAGTACTTCAAACTCGTCGAGCAATATCAGCACGGAGTGAAAGTGTTTGCTGAGTCAAATATCGTTACGTGCTCGTGTTTTGGCTCTTTCTCTTGGTGTTCAGGCTTATTCTCCATGATTTTCAGATGATTACTTATAATCACATACTGGGCTATCGCGTTGTTCAAGTTGTTATAAGTTTTATTTCCTTAATAAATAGCAAGTGAAGAGAACGTGTCCAATTTCTTATATTACGCAGCACAAAACATGCTTCGTGAGGCCTGCACGCCTTACTTAACATTGTTTAAGAGCCAAATGATGTCCCTTATATTTGGAAGTCGCGCCCACGGACGCCAGATCTGAACAGCTGGACGATTATATTCTTCCTTGCCGTGATCTGGCCTGCAGAGTCGCAGAACTTAAACGACGTTCCTATGGCGTCGTGCGTGTCTGAATGACCTTGAAATAGTCTACATGAAATAGTCTGTACCTCTTTGCGGCCGTGTAGCTCGGAAATAAGAGAGATTTAGGTCCTAAGAAGGACAGGTCTGTGAACTGCACCAAAAAAATCTTCGAAATGGCTGTCTCAGCTCAAAACCCCGTAGAATGCGGAACGCTTCCCTAAACATGGGCCCGGGTGGGGGTCAATTTCACCCCCTGAGATCTCAAAGATTACGAGACAAAAAACACTCAATTGGCGGGGCTGATTGATGATTTATTGTGAAGTCTCTTGTTTCAAAATTTGAGGTTTCTAGGTCGTGATCTCCGTGTCAAATGGGCTAAAAGCCCATATTGGTGTTCAAAATGCCTCTCGAGCTCTAATGCTCGAATGCCTTGAACCTAGGCTCCTGTTTCAAGCAAAATTACACTGGTGTTCTTTCCAAGCCACTGACCTTGTTTGGAAGGTCGTGGTGACCACATACTGACAAAATTGCTTTTATATCTTAATTTGAATAAGCGTGAGGGATTACGCTAGACGGCAAATTCCCATCAACAAAGCGTTCATCTGTGTCGTTTCAGGTCAGTGACCCATTCTAACTTTTACGTGGGTCATGGAAGATGTCTGTTGCAGTTCCTGTTATCAATAAATTCCAAATGAGCATCGGAAGGTTCCCCATAAAGCAAGCTCTTCACTAAAAAAGGACGCTGGTTTTTACATCGGTCAGACCTTCATACCTCACCCAAGGTGATTGGAATTCGTGGTAATGCATGAATTGCTATCATAATCTTACTATTCAAGAAGCTTTCTCAGATGTATGCCTTCGTCTAACACTCCGTTGTTGTATCAGATCGAACGATTGTCTAAAAGTTTCCAACGCCACTCCGTTCGAAAAGCATGCTGAAAAAGATGGGGGGGGGGGGGAGGGTGAAGTTGACCCCACCCAATTGCGAGTTAATACAAACACATTAACGTTCCATGTTGAAAAAGACTTGGCAGGCATGCCAGGTTAATAAGGGCATTCTTTTACCACTGGTCAATCCGTAGCTTAATAGGAGCTTAACAGCCCGTAACCGTTGCAAGAGAGTTAAGTAATCAATAATCAACGTCTGTACTTTAGGGAAAAGTGGGGCCAGTTGCATCATGTCCAAGTAGTACCAGGACAGTTTATTCCAAATCTGTGCGACGGATGCCAGCCTTGAACCCCTGAGCTGACTGACAGCAGCTCCCCTGCCTTTCAGTGTGCCTGCGGCGGCATGCGTACACGCGTCTTGGGACGAGTGCGACGATTTGTTTTGCATAGCATTGAAAACGATGACTGTCGGTGTAATTGTATTCGAGGACTTACAGCATAATTCGGCCAATATGAATGCTACATTGGGTGGTGGAGAGGTGTATCTATCGGATATATTGCAAAACATCTGGTGTTCTTTCCCAAAGATTTCGGGGCGCCGTGAACGTTCTTCCAAGATGCCCGGCAGTACATGTTGCATCAGTTATGCATAAGAGATGTTGTTCAGTGACACGATGCACCAAAAATACGTGGTGGACAGACTTATTAGCAATGATTAAAGGACTTAATTGCAATGACTTATTGCCATCCAGAAAACGGGTCAACAGTTGCATTGCTTATGCATGCCGGTCGTTCCTAGAGGAGTAACCGGAGCGGAAGTGAGCATTGTGCAACAATGATTGATAAAAGGGCAAAAATGTGTTATGTCGCAATCACGACAACTTACGAAATTGCACACGGAAAGCACATTTGATCTCCAAATCGTAACGTATTCAGCTTGCTTGCGACGCAATTTTCTCCATGATAAAAATAACGTAAGCTTAAGATTCCCATCAAGCATTACACTCTTTTTCCCTCCTTCTTCTTTCACTCTTTTTGATTCCCATCAAGCACTCATATAATTTATCCAAGGGTGAGGCAAGTCATCTCGTTTGAAAGGAGGCCATTTACAACACGACTGTTTTAAAAAACCAAAACGTGCTCTACAAAACTTTACTGCCACATACGAGGCTCCAGGAATTAGCTGTCTGGAGACATAAGAATCCTAGCCGTATCCTTAATAGTTATAGCAGGAGGAAGTATAAAGTGAAAACTTATACACCTTTCCCTACTCTCCCCTATGTCTGTTACATTGTTCCTCGACGTTGTGACTGATCAGAAAGTCTGCCATGTAATGCAATCATACATACTTCTAAGTATAAACATCACATTTTCCACAAACAGTTGTGTCGAATATACACAGAAGCGTATTTCTCTGACGTGAATCAAACTGTTAATAATGACGACACCTAGGTTACCTTGAATTCTGCCAGACTGTTCGGTCGCCATGGTAGAATATGAACTTTATTGTTGGTTGCTTTGACATATTATAACTTTGCAACTAAAAGGTGTCAAAGCGTATTAGGACAAAGACGAGGAATGTATCCTGATATGAGCTACTAAATATGTGCAGATTCGTCCATCGCCATGGGGCTAGTTTCATAGCACGTCCGTCCCTGTTCGGACCCGCCTACCTAGCAAAAGGTGACCGGGCATCGCAACCCTTCATCAAGGCCCATAACAGAATGCAGACTGCAGAGTACGGTCGGCTGCAGTTTAGAGGCAAGGCATTTCTACACTGATTCCCTGTTTATACAAGACTGTCATAGTTTTCTATCTACGAAAACGTGCGTCTATTTGTATGTCTGTCTGTCGTTTTTTGCTTGTTGATCCGTGCGCAGGTCAGACGGAATGCAGAAAAAGACGGAAATGTTCACAGTGTGCGTTTGCGAGCGTGGGAAGTGTGCATGCGTGGGGAGCGTGCATGCGTGCCGAAGGCTCTACGATAATTGATGATCGCCTTGGGCTGCTGGGAATGTCCGCTCAGGCCCACAGGGCTACCATTAGTCATACACCTGGGAGAGACAAACTGAGGGGCGGTCAGGCCGTCGAACAGATATTCACTTTGCTGCGCGAGCAACGATGAATCTTGGGATCCACATTGATAGGAAGACCTTGATTCATGTAAATAGCACCTTCGTATGAAATATAAGGTCGTAGACCGAGGATGGTAGTAGGGACTGGATGTGTTGGTGACTTCTCCAGCAATACCTGGCGCTATCTGAGATGTCGCGGCACTGAGTGTTTGACAAACTATGACTTGTGGATAAGACAATACTAATAGCCCTATTCCTCGAAGAATAACCAAAAAATTGAGATAGATGAATTGATATTTTGGCTGCATGCCTTCCATGCAGCATGCCGTATGCTACAATCAGTAGTCACTACTGATAGTCATTTTCATAGACGTACGTAAAAGAGATATCAATCCATGTTTTTCTCCTTTCTCTGGTTATTCTTCGAGTAAAAAGGCTATATATATATATATATATATATATATATATATATATATATATATATATAAAGGCTATATACATATATATATATAAAGGCTATATATATATATATATAAAGGCTATATACATATATATATATATATAAAGGCTATATATATATATATATAAAGGCTATATATATATATATATATATATATATATATATATATATAGCTAAATACACACATGATGCTCCTTGTAAATGCACTTAATTTACGTAAACATTAATTGTAGTTCCGATGGAAGCTGTGTGGTGTTGTAGTATTGTGGCCATGATAATATGGTCAATAAATACAACGACGAGGGTAGAGGCAACACGACTGGGTTGAAATTCCCACCATTCAAAAGCGGGCGCGGTGATAAACCACTGAGAAGCAAGCACAGACCGTCTTGTGAATTTTCCAAGGGTTGTGTGCCATCTTATGGAAGATCGGGCTGATTTTGTGAAATGTGCATTCAGATGTTACCAGTATGCACCGCATAACTTTGAAGGTGCTCCAAAAATATGCTGTGACCATCCAGCACGCGCCTTCAGCAAGTAGTGAGTGAACGCGTATATTTTTGCCGCGGCGGACTCGACGGCGAAGGCATGATTTTAGCCCCATAGACTGCTAGAGGCAAGCATCCATCACTGTACACAGAGCGGGGCTGTGTGGTGATAGAAACCCCGGTAGCACGTATTCCTCCTTACCAAACATACGGAATGAATAAGTATATGCGTGAATAAATGTTGACAGAAAAAAGCTCCAGGTGGGCGCGTAAAGATAAGATACAGAACACTACGGCACGGAAGACTTTTTGTACTCCTGCCGCGTGCTCGACTCAGTTTTCAGCGAGCATTTTTGAGTCGTGCCTCCCTGCCCGGGATGCGTAGAAATGAGACGTGTATTCGGGGCCATCGCAAAAAATCTGAATGACATGCCTGCGTTGGCTAAGGCCGCAATTACGTGGGTGTGCCAGGAAAGTTTACGGCAGTTGTTTGGGAACATGTGCCCCGCATTCAATAATGATAGTTACAGATAGACTGGCACGGACGATGCTCTGTACGGACCGTGATAGGTTACTCTGTAAAGAGGTTAGTTCGACAGCACATCACACAACAGCTGAAGGGCGTAAACACAGGGTGAAGAACAGGGTTAAGGTGAAGAACACATGAAAAGTTGCTCTTGTCCTCCCCCCCCCCCCCCCCCGCCAGGAAAATCCGCAGTGACGAGTTCTGAGTGACTACCGCATGAGCGCTCAGGCACATACAAGATCCATAAAATCTTATATAAGCATAATGATGCTCCATAGAAAGAACCGAGGGACAGGTGGCGTTTGCCTCCAAAACTCCTGCGATGATGCATCGTTACTGACAGCAATTTGACACAAGGTCGAAAGATCCCAGGGCAATAGGACAGATCTCGCTTACAATTGGATGTCACCTGCGTGGTGACACGTTTGTCACGTTCGGGTCTGAACATTTTGCGTTGACCCACCAGCTTGATTTGCCGCATTTTTACGCAGCCTGTCTTGTCTCCCGTGTTTCTGGTCACAGCTGCTCACGAAATTGAACCAATCAGAATGGGGTGCAGCAGAACCGTCACAGACGTGAACAGCACCTGCTTGCAACATCTCACTTCTTTGCCACAACTTACGGAGACAAGGTGAAACTCTTTTCGCCTAGTTTTTGCCCACTCCAGCGGGAAACATGTTGTAATTACGAAGCATCAATTAGATAAGACATTAGTAATAGCCTTATTCCTCGGAGAAAAACCATGAGAGTGGAGAAATAGGTTGGTTGATATTTCGGCAACCTACCTTTATCGAAACAATAGAAGTCTTAACTTCCGCTATTGTTTCGATAAAGGCATGTTGTCGAAATATCAACCAATCTATTCCTCCAATCTCCTGGTTTTTCTCCGATGAATAAGGCTATTACTACTATCTTATCTATGTGAATACTGTTTCACGCGAATGCACTGGACAACTTACGTTATTTTGAAGCGTCAATTACGTAAATGCCAATCACAATCGCGTTTTACCGCCGCCAGTCCAAGCAGCATTCATGTCTAAAATGGGATGTTTTGTTACAGCACGGTTTTTTGGGGGAGGCGGGCATGGAGTTGTTTCGTTCCCTCACTTAAAATGCGGACTCTGAAGCATCCAGGACGCTCAGGAGCCGACAATGAGACCGACGCGGCGGCCACGGAGCTCTACAACAAATAAAGCGGCCACATGCAATGAAGGTATTTGGGAAACCTCAGAGGCCTCCTTCGCAGATCAGGTCTGAGAAGACTTCAGAAACGGCTGGGCGCAGATGGAAATAAAGAGGAAACGGACGAGGGCACCGAAAGCGTAAGCGGGCCCTAAACCGGTCAAATGTTTGTCGTGTGGCGCAACTACAGCAGAAAGCAAACATGCGCCAAGAAACCCACAATTTGAGACGCAACTACTGCTCACGCGCGGTGCTTACGCCCGCACAAGTTCACATTTGTCTCCAGTCGCCGTGTGCTGAGACGCACGCACGATGTGCTGAGTCTGCGCTACTACTGCGTCCGCGTACGGAACCCCCGCTGGTGTCGGCGAACCACCTTCGCTCCCACATGAATGATGCATGATGAGTGCGGAGCACCCGTGATTGCCCTCACCACGCGCCGTCGCCTAACTAGGCGGACGGCTGAAGGGCCGATATATGACCGGTCTGGTTCATGTTCCATGTTGTATTGCTTTCATCCGCATCAGCATAAGGGCAGCACATACGCTCAAGAACAGGGAACAAGCAGCACAGCGTGCGGCTCCAACGGCTCCATAAGCTGCACAAATCACAGCGCACGCGTACGCCCTCCTCTTCACGCCAGTAATGGCGCCCGTCCGACAGATGGCAGGGCGCCCACGCGCCGCGGCCGAGTGCTGAGCGGACGCCCCGGCGGGCGGGGGCGGTGCGACGGCAGGCCATGCACGATGAGCGCCGGCTCCTCCCTGACCGGGCCGCTGACGCCGCACGTCCACGGTAAACACGCATCTACGCCACGCGCTTAGCAGTCGGCAGGAATGCAGCGAATCGTTTCGTAGCCAGCAGCATGACGCCGACCGCCTTCGCATGTCCAGCCGGGCCGAGCAGCCCCAGCCGGGCGCCGCTGCGTGCCTTGTCGAAGGCCGTGACCTACGTCGACTTGGACGGCGCCTTGCTAAAGTGGTGGCGAGCGAACGTTTCCGCCACGAGTAGTGGGAACACGAGAGACGCCTCGGCGTACACCTGAAACGGAGCGGCAGCCGACAGTCAAATCAGCACCGACGCTCAGCAACGGAGCACCCAGGATGCCTTGGCGTACACCTGAAACGGAGCGGCTGCCAGCAGTCCGCGGGGCACGAGGCACAGCGTCGCCCACAGCGCCGCGACGTCACAAGCTCTGCATGGCAGTGCGTCAGGACCACCGGGCCTCACGACTTAATAGCGAGATCATTGCGCCTCCGAATGTGGAAAGGCCATGTGATCACCGAGTCGACTGCCACCAGGCAATACAAGCCGACTTTATTAACCGGCCGGGGGTTCTGAGACAACCGGGCTCGGATGGGGGGGGGGGCGGGGGAGGGGGAGAAAATGACCCCTGGGATCTCCATTTTGCGGACACCCTATGACAAAGATAGCCTTTTGAACGTATCGTCAGACCATGAGAAATGCACACAAAATTGTTTACCTTGGGTCAAATTTGAGGCCACCCGAGGTCACAAAAGGTCAAAAAGGTCGTTCCGATAGATGCAGTTAAAACCTATGTTAACACGTCAAGGCGAATTTTGAGGGCTTGGAAATAAACGTTAAAACTGTGAGGAGTCCGTTCCGACTATTTCTGTTCCCCCCACATGGGTCAGATCAGTTCACCGTTCAAAATTGTTCTACCAGTAGCCTACAAGAACGATGCTTTTCTTCACTATGCGCCTCTGGCTAGGTTTATTCTTTTAAACGCAGCTGTGGGACAGAGGTATTTTAGGCCCAGAACTCCCATTTTAGGGTGAACTAGGGTCATTCGAGGTCAACTCAACTTAACTAAGTCATTTACAGACTATCCTAATGAAGAAATTCGAGGTGCCAACGGGATCCATGTGACCAGTAGGTTTTTTTCTGTCATCCCCAAAAGTGTTGTGCATCTTGCAGTACTCAATATCGCATACCTGTTGTCTACATTAAATATAGTCAAATATAACATAAATAGGGCAATCACAGCATCGATATATCTAGATAAACTGCATCCACAATACGGTGTGATCATGAGTCTTATCATTTTATCATTTTCATGTCAGATTTACATCACCAGACTGCAAATTGCAAAGACATACTCGACTATGCTTATCTAAAAATAAACAGAGATGGAGACCACCAGCAAACGGCACTGGCAGCAGCATCGAAATGAAGCTCGTTTGCCAGTAACCGGTCGTGAAGCTGATCCCCGAAGGAGGCATCAGGAGTGGTGGTGACCGAAACCACGGACCAGCCAAGCGCATGGCGAGGTAACACATACCAGGCGGGTTTAGCTGGGGCATGCATACCTCACCCCAACCAAATCACCACCATGACCAGCATGTCAGAACGAGGAACTGAAACACACGTTGAACAGAGTGACCAATGTATTGCGAGCCATCAAGGCGCCCAGCGGTGCGCGGTCGTCTGACCTTGACAGGCCGGGCGTCCACGCGGATTTTGCCCCACGAGACGGCCTCGTCGGGCCTGGCGCCCGCGTCGCTGCCGTCAAACTCGCTGGCCGTGTTCACGAACACGGAGAAGTCGGCGCCGTTTCTCTGTCGGGAGCGGCGGCCGCGTGAGGTCACCGGGTCTCGGACGCACAACACGCCACCCTCCAGGTCCCGGTACACATCGCGCCGCACGCGGGGCGCTGGGACAGTGGGGCAGCTTCAACCAAAGAGCGGCCTCACGATGTTTTAGATAAGCGTGCAAAAGATTCGCTGTGACTTATTTCACTGGTAACTTATTGAAACTTTTGTATTACCTTTTGCGTGTGTAACACTCGGCATCTTTAGTGTTCTATGCTTCACATTGTGGGGTTTGGGACATCATTTATTTCAACCGACATTTGGTGCACGTGTGGTTTTGACATTCGAGACCAAGGCTAAGCATAGCTTGTTGCGAGGTCCCTAATCCCATCCCCTCAGGAGAACAGAGAAATTGGAGCAGTTATTATCAGCAGACAGATATAGAAATGCAACGTAGCTCCACGACACGACAATGCCTTTCCAGCCCGAGCCCTTGATGGCCAGTTATCAGTCGACCGTTTGGAACAAACCAACTTATCGAGCGATCTTTCTGGGATGTAAGCCCACAACACCTGCCACCCTAGAGGTCACGTGTCCAGCGTTCTATACACTGGGTTGAGCGAACATGGCGGGGCACGGCTTCTCAACACATACATACAGCACTCCAGCTACGCATGACTCATGGGGCGCAGATAAGCAAGGGCGGGGAGAACGACGCAAGGTACATCAGCAACGATGCCTCATCTATTTTAACACTATCCATGGAACCGGTTCCCTCGGCGGCTGCCGGCAGCCGGCCTGCGGGCCAGCCAGCCGTCAGACCTGTGTTGCGGCAGGCGCAGCGCTCCTCCTCACCATGAGGTTGGCGTTGCAGATGTGGTGTTTGACCAGACCGCCGCCGATGATGATCATGCCCGTGCTCTGGGCCTTCATCGCCATCGAGTTGAGACGACGCAGGTCTGCGGCGCCAGCGGCGAAGCCGGTAAGAGCTGGGACAACTGGCGCCAGCGGCACGCCGAGCCCAATACCCGCCGATATCGTACATCGGCACACCGGGCCCGACGCGCACCGGCAAGGTGCACCGCTACAGTGAGCCCAACACGCACCGGCACGGTACACCAGCACGCCGAGCCCAACACGCACAGACAAGGTACACCGACAGACCGAGCCCAACAGGCACCGAAAAGGTACACCGACACACCAAGCCCAGCACGTACCAGCACGGTACACCGACACACCAAGCCCAGCACGTACCAGCGTGGTACACCGGCACACCAAGCTCAACACGCACCGGCACGGAACACCGGCCCACGGGCAGAACATCGGGACAGCTCACGATCCACGGCCTTCTGCGAGCACATCGCCACCGGACACATACGACTGTAATGCCCTTCATAATGCAGGCCTTCAATAGCGAGGTGGGCAGCTCGGCTGTCGCCGCCTCAGCACGATGGTGCCCTTGGAATTGGCTCCAGTCAATAGACATCGATCACACAAGAGGTCCGCTGGCCAGTCCCAGTCTAGTCCCCGAGCCCGGAGCTCCTGCCAATGTTGGTGCGGGCGCCCTCACAGCCGCGCACACGTTAACTTATAGCCAAGAGCTGAGGCCGTTCTCCCTTTCCTGTTCTTGTCGATCTCACTTCCCTGGGGTGACACTGCCCATGAAAATTCAGAAGGCGATTGGTGCCGCTGAATACACATATTCTTCAACAAGTAACCGCATATGTAGCACGAGGGAAGGAGAGTACTATGCACGGGAATAACAAGATGGTGCTCAGCTTTGTCGCACACTGATGCTGTCCATACCAGAATAATCACAATAGACTGATCAACTTTTTAAAACCATATTACAGACCGCAAAAGCCGCCGCAGGTTGCGTCACAAATAAGGTCTTATCTTCGAAGCCCAATCGAGCAAGACCATTAAGCAGGAGACCAAAAGTCTTGGCAAGCAAATCAAAGATGTGCTGTAACTATGGTGTTCTGTTAAAAAAACTTCTGTTGTTCCTTAAACGCAACGCACAAAGAACCCCTCACGTGGTTTTTCAACACGCCAAACTTGGGTTGTCCTGATCCAACTCCGCTCAAGCTGGGGCGGGAAGCGTCCGAGCCGCCACTCACCCGAGAGGATGTCGACCACGAGGCCGGGCCGCTTGTACGAGTGGAAGAACATCATGTCCCCGAGGCTGCCGTCGGTGAGGGCCGGACTGAACACGGGGATGCTGTTCTTGGCGGCCCAGTACAGCACGGAGCGGGTGTCGCCGATCTCCCGGCCCAGCCGCTCGATGATGCGCGACGGCGACCACAGCGTGCCCTGGCGGCCGGCCAGCATCACCGGTCGGGAGCGGCCGCCCTCTCGCCCGCCGTCGGTCACAGACACCGACAGCCTCCACGGTGGCCTGGTGAGACAGCCGGCAGCGAGGCGCACGTGCCGACGAAGACAGCGGCGCACCAGCCTACTGTCAGCCCCGGCAGCACGCACGCGGCCGCAACACGCGTCGCAGACGCAACGAGGACATGCCGGCGTTTGGGTGCAACCAGCCCGTCTGTGGTGGTTGCGGACTAGGTAGTCTTCACCGTCATGGCGGGTGCGGAATGTCATGTGGACGGACGAAAATTCACAACGCAAGACCATAGAACACGGAAATAAATGACGTGACCACATGGTAGTGACATGTGGCAGAACGGCGGCAAGAAATCAACACACTCCAAAAAACATCCGAGAAATATCCGCAATCCGACAGTGACAGTAAAAATCACGCTTTTAATGCAAAACAGACCCGCGTGAGGTTTGTAAGAGAGGGCATAGGGACGTCAGTACCTTTTCGCTTTGTTCTTCCAACAGTTTGTCCAGTATTGGCATGACCCACGTTTCAAATTTGCAGTAGTTGTCGTTGGGTACTAGGAGATTGCCTATCCTGAATAAGACAAAACGACTTCGTTTACAAGTATTGGTGCTACCAGGCCATGATGGTAGCTTGGAACTCATCTACCCATAGGTACATACCACATGTACAGTGGCACAACATGGTATGTACAGCGGCAGTCAATTCAAGTCTCTATATGCACTCACAAGTTCAGTCACAATGTATGGACGCGGTATAAAAAGAAAAGGTAGGAAAAGCAAATATCAAAACATTAAAACATCCGACGGTGCACCGGAGCCTTTAAAATTGCTGTCATGAGGAGCGGTACTCTTACTTCGTTGCCATAAGGTATCACAGGGTATCCGGAACTCATTACGTAGGCAAATCACTGCTAAGAAGAAGTCAAGTCACTCATTCATGTATAGTAGTCAAAGCCAGATCAGCACACTGTGAGAGTGACCGCCGTTTCCACGCCGCGCGGGGGGGGGGGGGGCGAGGGGCGTCGGTCAGCGCCGCAGCAACCGGCGCCACTCGCGTCTGGCCAGGCACACCGGTGCCGTCCGGCTCATCCCGCCCGAGGCGAGGCTGTCAGCCCTCACCGGTTTATGCCGCGCTTGCGGAGCCCCTCGCCTTTTAAGTCGAAGGCACCCACATAGGTATCTGCCAGGCACTTGATCAGGTCCTCCTCCACGCCGCCGGCCGTGGTCACCACACAGTCCACCTGTCAACACGGGCGCACGCGCGTTACTGCGAAGCGATCCACGTGAATGTGAGGCACGCACCACCCCGGAGGCACCGCCACAGGTGTGGTGCGATGCCGAGCACGCGCCATACACACATGCATCCCGCTCATCCGGAGACAGACACAGCGGTGTCAAACAAGGCGGACGAACGAACGTCACCAACTCATCTGCACACGGGCGAGCACATCCGAAAGTAGATAGAAGAGAAGAAATTACCGACGAATCGCTTCACGCTCAGCCCAGTTCGCCTGACGCTCGTATTCTGAGTGTGTCGCTCTCCATGCGGCGTGTTCGTGCACGTTGATGATTTTCAGCGTTGACTGTATACACTACAACGTACCCACGAGACGCGAGCGTGTAACCACCCTGCCTACGGACCGTAGCTGCACTGGGACCACCTTTTCCCGGCTGGGGCTCGGTCTCCACCGCGCCACTGACCCCGTGTGGAAACAGGCCGGGCACCCACCATCCTGTGCTGCACCAGGAAGCGGATGGTATCGCGGACGCCGGACGAGGACATGTTGGACGTGAAGCCGAGGAAGAGCGTGCAGGCCGAGCGGCGCCGCGTGAACTCGTCGTCGCAGAGGCGGTCGTCCTCGGCGGCCGGCTGGTCACGGGCGGCCAGCTGTTGAAAACGGCGCGGGTGAGGTGCCACTCTGCGCAACGTGGTCCAGCTATGGATCTAGTACAACACGGACAGCAGCGGAACAATGCTGTTCCTGAGACTACGCATGTGATCACCTGATTGCCATAACGCTGCCGGAAGTCGACAGTGCAGGCTCCTTTTCACCAACGTGAGCGAGATGGTAAGCCCAAGACAAGGCCATTGCCACTTAGCACTTCACCTCCAGCCTCACGACTCCTTCAAAATCCTTTAATATTGCTTCCGTGTCGTCGTACTCAATTACAACAAACAAGCAAGATCATCAATGTATTTTAAGGCGGGGAAAAACTGATGGCAAACAAAATGGTTCAGCTGCAATATCAAGTGGTGTGGCCGTTCAAACATTCGTGAGATGACGCCCTCAAATGCCAAATTTGGAGACGAACAGTCAACCTCTACATAGGGGCAGGGCTCAATTTCGAACAGGGGAGGACCCAGCGTCCTGATTTGTTCACGTGCAAACAAGGCTCATGAGCATAAACAGCGTGCGGCCGCGGAACCGTCAGAAGCGATATATGTCGACAGCAGACGACTCATGCTCGATTCCAAATGTCTGCCCAAACTCGGAATGAGACTGCAATCTAATCAAGTACAAGGGCTGACAAAAAAGGTCATTTGCAGCAGTGAAAATATAAGCACTAACATACGCATAAAGTACTTTCACCACGTGCTTACATCACTGCTGTCTTTGCTTTCCTCAGCTGGCCAGTCACTGGCTAGTGAAGACGTGAACGCCAGTACTCGAAGGAGTTGGAGACGGCCGTCCCACCTCTAGTCCCGCCGGTTAAACGCTGTGATTATCTAACAAAACCACAAGTATCATAACTTACATTACCAATGAATTAGCCACTACCACGTTCGTGACGTGTACTACAATACTCAAAGACAGGTGGAAGCAACATACCATCTTATTGATCTCATCGACTGCCAAGCCGAAGTTTGTGGCTTGAAACCCAGATGTAGCATAGGATCGCAGTAGCTTGTGGTAGTCGACACCCTCATTGAAGTCATAGCCTGCGAACACACAAGCAGATGCCTGTGGAAACTGTGAATTCAATCAAATTGCTGGGAACAATTTCCCCAAGGGCTAGAAACACACCCCACATGTACTGGGCGGGTTCTGCTGGTCGTGACCCCGAGGCAAGAGGCACAGCAAATTGATGAGTATGAAAGGGTGTATGGATACATTCATAATGCTGCAACACATTGGCTAGTATACACACGCTTCATATTCTACCTGATTTCAGTCCCAACGTGAGTGCAAGCTTCATACAAGCCTACATAATATATGAGGCACTGTCATAAGTAAAACGAGAAGAAAAAAGCTGATTTATTCACCTAAAGAGATAGTGGAAATGACTACACATGGCTTTCTTTGCAGCGACAGCACTGCTGTAAACACACACCCTCTACCGTCACCGTGGCGTCTGGGAGTGGTTCGCTGCGTACAAGAACGGCAGCAGCAGCGGCGGCGCACGGGACGCCCTCGCTGGCTTCGGTGTCCGAACTCATGTCCTCAGTGGCCTGGGTTCCTGGAAATGAACCAATGTAGTCACGACAATCAATGGATGTGCTGGGCCATTTTTTTTCAACAAAATATTGCATGTTTGTATGCAACTGTGTCATGCCAAAACATCATCAAACAAGATCCAATCGTCATCATGGGCAGATGAACAAAATGAAAATGCATAGTTCCTATTTGAGATTGAGATCTGAGATTCAAACATACATAAATGACCATTCCTGGCACATCCATTGTCAACAAAGAAGTTTGGATTGAAATGTTGCCTTGCTTAAACATGAAAACACCTGCCTGGCTGCCTCACACAAGACCCTGCTGGGCTAAATTTCATGGCTGCAGAAACAGGTATTTACCTACAAGAACTAATCCCAGGATGATAATGTGGGGACAGTTTAAAACCTTTTGGATCATTTCTTGCAAACCCTATCAGCTTAAGATAATGCATGCAAATGCAAATGGGATGGCACTGTAACATCTTGTTGACAAAAATAGATGTCACAACACAGTTTAACTTCTAAGGCAATCTTATAAGGTGTTAACTGCGCCATTGAAAAATATTAATCTTACCACTTCGTTCACTCCACAGCTTAGCATCTAAAAACACCATTTTTAGATACCACCACCTCAGATGTGGACAAAACGTGGTCTACAAGGTAACTGGGTGCTCAGATCACAACGGTAAGGTTTTTAGACCCATGTGCTCAACCTCTTTCAATTCAAGCAAAATAATGTCATGAAGAAAATCTATTATTGGTGCCATTATTAAATTAGGTATTCTCCCGCCCCACAAATCAGTTTTCCAAGCTGATGACAAATATAATCTGTTAGAAACCTCAATTTTCAGAATTGTCATTCAATTCTACATCAGAAAACATCAATACAAAAGTGAAAACATTCTATACATCAGCACAATAGGATGTGATCACACATCATCAAAGCTGCCCTGGCCAATCCAGTGGCTGACCTAGCCTGTGCAAATGCTACTGGGAGCTTTGGTCACCACCTATCCTTATCCCGAACAACTCTCAGATGGCTGGATTCATTGTTTGAAAGATGACAGAAACACAGTTATCAGCCCTTCCCCAGATCCACGGACACCGGTTGTCCCAGCTGTGGCTCAGGTAGCAATATGAGCACTGTCTGGGTGGACAGGCATACATGTGCAGTGATTATCAAGCATTCATGCATTTCAAAAGGCAACATTTGTCACTAACATGTTGAGCCTAGAGCATAAAACCACTGAACAAGTCCTGCTACCTGTCAGTCAAATGTTCATTGTTGGCCACCATTTGCTTCTAGGGGTTGTCATTTGTTGCCAACCCATGCACAAAATGAAGAGAGCAAGTTCCAGTGAAGGATAATGATGCCACGGATCTACCTCATTCAGACTCAAATTGACCCATTTCTCTCATGCCCATCAAGCTTGCTCCCACAGCAGGGCATGCAAAATGTACAGAATCTGTCACAGCTGGGTCCCAGGCTCAACTTCACCTCAACCATCCATTGCAGCTGGGTCCCAGGCTCAGCCTCATTTACACAATCCATTGCAGCTGGGTCCCAGGCTCAGCCTCATTTACACAATCCATTGCAGCTGGGTCCCAGGCTCAGCCTCATTTACACAATCCATTGCAGCTGGGTCCCAGGCTCAGCCCCATTTACACAATCCATTGCAGCTGGGTCCCAGGCTCAGCCTCACTTGGGGCACTTCTGAGCAACCAGAAGCCTTCTCAGCAGTCATTTGTTACATTGGATCTAATTTCTTATTCACACACTTCCAACTACAACTGCATTAACATGTTTGTGTAACATGTAACAAAATGTTTGTGCATAGCACAGTGAAAAAATCACCCACGAACCATGGTCATATTTCCTGTTACACCTCATGCTTATCACTTTGAGGTGACTTACACAGTATTTGTTGCTGTAAGTCATGTAAAATCTGCATTTTGGATGAAGCATCCAGACATGTTTGTTTTTACTTATTCCAGTTGCACAGATCATCAGGATTATTTCTTCAGGCAACCCAACCTTGCTTGGTGCATTCCCGGTACAGCTGAAACCCTTCCAGACCCTCTAAATAAACTGAATGTAGTGTTATATATATAAATGTATATATATATGAATGCAGTATATATATATATATATATATATATATATATATATATATATATATATATATATATATATGTATATACATATATATATATATATATATATATATATATATATATATATATATACATAGCATGCATATCTAAACCTCAGCATTACAAAATTACAAGTTTTTACTCATGCTCGCCATCTACGCACTCCGGCTATTGTTACGCCGGCGTCTCACTTTTAAGATTCCAGTAGGTTACCACGGCAACATTTTCTAGCACACTGATACGAATAGTAATTCAACGCTTTTGTTGCCAACAATCATCTCAATCCATCATCTGTTCACCTATATACAAAAATACATTCCCAACCTTTGCACTGCTCCTCCACGCCGGGCGTCTGCTACCTCCACACGCGTATTCATGCAGCGCGCAGGGCAGGTAGCGCGTATTCATGTAGGTATGAAAGTGTCATTCGTAGAGAAAATCTACTGCGAAGCTTCCAAATAAGACCTTTTCCTTTCCTTCCTTGCAAGTACGCAAATTACGAGGCTATCCAGTTTGCCCGAGCCCGGCTGCTGAGTACTGGCGCTTCTGAGAGCGGCGCCTGGCTGAACGCTGTGCCATCGGCCAATCTCGGTGCACTTATTGACAACAAGACGTTGCGTATCTTAAAAGCATTGAGGGTTGGAGCTGTAGCCTACAACAATACAGATGTGGTACTCCTTCAGACAGCAAGGGTTACCATGCCTTGATATGCCGTCTCAGGGCCGGAAGACTTCCCAGACACACGGCGTTGAACTATGTCGTCAGGCGTACCCTGCAGTCTGCGGGCATATCCGCAATTCTGGAACCAATCGGCTTGGGCCGCGGCGACGACAAACGACCAAACGGGCTGACAATATACCCGTACCCCCGGGGAAAAGGCTTATTTGTGGCACTGCCTGTGTCCACACGCAGGCAGAATCCCGCGCATTATCAACCGTGATAGCCACTGGATCCGCTGTATGAGATGCTAAGTCTAGAAAAGGCGCAGATACTCAGATCTAGCAGACAGATCTCAGTCCGAACCCGTCGCTTTTGAGACGCGTTCGGACTGGGGGTGCCTGCGGTCCGTCCAGCAAGGCTTTCACCAGAGAGTTGGAGTCGCGGATTGTAAAATTATCTGGGGACCAACTTGAGGCTGTCTGGCTCTGGCAGCGGCTATCGGTTGCCGACATCCGTGGCAATGCTGCCTCCGTGTTGTCACAGCTAGGTCTCTTAAAGCGCCTGCCAGCGCACATCACTGGCCTGCACCCAAAGGCAGCATTATCACTTTACTGTGGTGGGCTGGGCTTGGCATCCGGAGGCAGCCAACAGCATCGTTAGCCCGATTGGTGGAACGCCTAACTCGTCGCCGCCTGAGTGTGAGCCTCCTACACACCCTTTATCAGCCCGTCACCTTCCGCCAGATCGGCATTCCAGCCCGGTCAAGCCTGGCTCAGTGTGTTGCCTCCCGTAGCTGCAGGCCGAGCTGAGCAGTTTCACTGAGCAACTGGAAAACACCCAGCAGGCGCGGAAGGGGAGGCTGCAAGCCGAGCGGGTGCCTACTGAACATTGGATCTCGAAGCAGCTCTGCCCGGTCTCCTGTCCGGGCCCGGCCGCCTCCCCGTCACGCTGCTCGGGGATCATTAGCTCGAGCGAAGATGGCGGTAGGACGCGGCCCACGACTCGGCCGCTCAGCCCTACGGGACTACGGAACATCGGCAATACGCGTTTCGTAAGCGACGTGCTACAACGCCTGAGAGACGCCCGTGCCCTGCATGACGACATCCTACCTGACGAGCACTCGAAAGAAATCAACACGGCCATCACCATGAAGAGTCCCCTTATCAGAGTATTTGTCATGCCCATGCGAGACCTATGCGGGAGCCCAGATGGCGTTGACCGGGCGCTGACCACCTCCCCATAAAAGGTGCAATGTCAGTGCTTTGTGGCCCAATGCACGGGCTATTATCAGCAGGACGCACAAGAATTCCTCAGATACCTGCTGGAGGGCTTTCCGATGACGTGAACCGTGTCGACAATCAGCCCAAGCCCAAACTCATCCACATTGGTAACAACCTCACTGCCAGCCAGAAATCGCTGGAAGCCCAAAATTGTTTTGTGAGCAGTCTTTTCTACTAAAAAGTAAACTAATAGTTATAATTGGGCTTGTGCCATCATATATGATGCTTGCTTTAGTATCTTCAAATGTGAAACATTCCTTTTAACACAAAATTGGTCTCCTTATCTAACGCATTACTTACCTTATCCCTAAAACTGACGCCAGGACCTAGAAAACGAGCATCTTGATGCAGCAAAAAGTCTTGCGAGCTTGACTTATTGCTCTTTAGCTCAGTGATGGTGCTTCCTTGATATGAATTCTGGTACCCAATGTGTAACAATGCCTTTACTTAATAAACAGGGGATCTGAAAAATGGGGAGCAAAAATATAATATTCCTCCCTATGCCTGCAGTCAGGGGTGGCACGACACTCTGCCCCCCCCCCCCCCCCCATTACCCAGCCCTGCTGTGCCGCCCCTGGATAGCACCTACCTCTTCAAGCATACTACCTCTGTGTTTAATGCGTCTATATGTGAGCACAGAGAGACTACTTTTCTAATTTGTCTGAAAAAGATAATATTTCAACCAACTTCATTTTATTCGAAGAGAGCTTTACGGAGTAATCTCCACTCGTTCAGCATTGTTCAAACAATGATATTTACGAAAACAGATTAAGGCATGCATTAAGAAAAACCTAGCAAGTCACACGCTATCTAACATACTTATCCCTCTGAGGCAACGAAAGCAAAATAGATGGCTGGTTTTTCATTTCAGCAGCAGCTAAATAATGTAAGCCGCTGGCAAACAACACATCCACTGCACTCACAATTCTAATGTGATTACAATGCACTTCATCTGAATGTTATCATGTCACATGACAACTATCTGACACCGCGCATGCATCTTAGAGATGCACATCGTTTTTCCCCATAACGTTATCCATTCAATAGCGTCGTACGCGCAATATCACGACACTTAAACAAGATAACTCGCACGTTTACAACTTTCTTGACCCAAAGCCTGTTATCGCACCTCGTATTGACCCAAGCCGAGAGCTTTTTCAGTCTTTTCACTTCAAAATTCCGTATACACTCGCTATTGGTACCCCCGGTTTTGTAGTCAGAAGATTGCCATTGCGTGACCTAGAAGTGAAAATATATTCCGTAATCTTTCTTTTTCTACAGTTTCTATTACAATCTAAAATTTATCCCTCCCTTGCGTATCCTCGTCTGTCCTTGCTTTCTGGTGTTCGCCCCTTTTGGCCTTTAAGCTTCTGCATGCCTTCCCCATGTGAACCTTTTCGCATTCGCATATGTATCGGTCAATGATTCCTGCCTTTTGGCACATTTTCAACCTGTCTGGCCGAACTAGGGAGCTCCTAAGGTTTACACACGGTTTGGTAACTACACGAGCGTGTGGTTTTAAAAGCCGCGTCATCTGCACTGACACTCCTTCCAAATGACGTAAAATCACGAAGGGCCGATTATGCCCTTCTCGAGTAAAATAATGGAAGTTCCGACCAGGTTCCGACGTCACACGTCGGAACCTACCCCACCATTATGTAACGGACGAGCTAAAGTAAATACACAGAAGGCAATATCACGGCCAGAAGTGTCCTCGATAGGCTCTGCCACTTATGCCGCATTCAAACCTCGGCGCCGCTCTTAGAGCCCCGGGTAGAAAACACAGAGCGCCATTTTAAAGACTCGTAAGTCTGTGTTTATTTCATGCCCGCATTTCAGACAGCGACAGATGACGGTATCACTTGATGAAGAGTTTATTTTCACATCGATTCCTACCGAAAGGCTTGCGAAATTGTGGAAGAAAGGGTCATTGACGAAATGAATAACGGGGATCGAATGGTAAGGTGCCGAACGAGCACGGAGGTGGATAATATTCCAACTACGCGTCTGTGATATCCGACTCTTGCGTATGTGTCCTAATGCAACTTACTTCACGGTTAACGGTAATTTTTCATGAAAAGAACGCAGAGGCAAAGTCAAAGAAGGTCCTGTCAGAGCCGTGGTAGTCACTTTCTTCAGGTAGAAATTGGAACGAGAGGCTTTGGACACTGTTCCACATGAAGCCAAGGTAAGGAGGAGTTATGTGTATGACACGTTTGTCGCGCTAAAAGAGCACCAGGCTCCAGAGATCCTCGAGCGCTTAAACAACGCATGCCCATGAATTAAATTCACGAAAGAGATGGAGGTGAATGGCTCTCCTGCTTTCTTCAACATTTTAATATCAGGATCAGGAGACGGTAGCATAAGCCAGTCATTATGTCCCGTATGCCCTCTTCCCGGCTCCTGATCGCCGATTCTGATGTGCCGCTCGGAACCCTGTTCGGGCCTCATCGTACCCTTCTGCCCTTGGTCTGCTCGGGACCTTTGCAAACACAGAGCCCTCGGTTAGGCGCTGTTGGCCCCAACGCGTACAAGCGCCCCGACCAGTGTAAATCGCTGGCCCCGGCTTTGTAACTCATTTGGGAAGTGGGCCCTCAAACCTATATCGATACGGAGCCCACTATGTGGTTTTAGTGTTGTCTGGTCAACATGGAGGCCCATATCGACTCAGGGGGTCTACGACGGGCACATAGGGCCCCTGACTGTCATTTGTTGTTCCCGCAGGCCGGGCCCCTAAATAAGACTTTGACCAGCCCTTCGTGACCTTAGACCCTCCATTCGGGCCCTTCATCGTCGGACTCGGTGGGCACTCCAGACTCTTCAGGCCTCCTCAAACACTGCCTCTTCCCGAATCGGGGTCCCTGGCCAATACGGGGTCCCCGTTTAGTGCTGTGGGCCCCGACAGACGCTGGGGCCCGGCCAATGTAAATCGCTGGCTTCGGCTTTGTCCCTACTTGGGAAAGGGACCCTCAGGCCCATGCCTTCGCGAAGCCGATTGTGCGTTACTGGTGGTGTCGGACTAACATATAGGCCCGTATGGAATCAGGGGGGCACCTGATCAGCGCGCAGGGCCCTCTGACTGGCATTCAAGTGTCCGAGGGGCACTTCGGGCCACTGAACTTGGGGGGGAGCATGCCCTGTGCCCCCTTCCTGCACTGCTGATTGTTTTCGTATTGAAATTTCAAGCGTATTGCATGTGTTCCTTGTCAATGATTGGCATTTCTTGTGTGCGGCTGCAATGAAAAACCAGTCATCTATGCTATTTTCTTTGCCTCAGCGGGATAAGTATGCTAGATTGCATGTGACTTTTTAGGTTTTTCTTGCTGCGTGTCTAAATCTATTTTCATGAATATCATTATCTGAAGAAGGGGTAGGGATCACTCAAAAACCTCCGTCGAACCTAAACAAGCTGGCTTACATGATATACTTT